ATCGCTACGCTCTCTCGGTCCGCGTCCGTAAATACTATGTAGACTTGTTCTTCGTACCGTAACTATTACTTACTTTTGAGTCACAGTTTTTATAAGCAAAACAAATTGTCACAGATAATCCAATACGTGCGTGTAGTTATAGTTTTTTCACGGTCAAAACAAATAAATATGTAATTACTTTCCAAAGGAAAAAAAAATTTACATATTTGTGAAAAGTGCGAGTTAATTATAGAGAAGTGTGCATAAATTATTACGAACACGCCTTCATCCAATTAAAAAAGTCTTAAAGATGGAGCAATCAAACACGATTGGCTAGGGAGTGTCTGACAATTTAGTAAATTAACTTTGATTGGTCTTTGGCTGGTCGGCGCTAAAACATTGTGCATATCATTAATCAATACAGACATCTTAAGCGTGACGTAAGAACTGCTGCCCTGACAAAAGATCAAAGGTACCGGTATGTCAATATACATTGTCTTAGCACCTGTTGACACTTTGTTTTTCGCTTGGATATATTGAGAAGGGTAAATGTTTTTAGCGACTATTGTAAGTTTATATTCTTCATAAACAAAGCTGATTTCAAAATATGATTTTCCTTTATATATCGGGCGCTGATTAAAAAACCGAACATTATTATCAAATATCCCTTGTAACATTAAAATAAGATTCATATTTTTCTTTGATCATTATGTCATCGCGTTTCTTTACCAATCAGTTTTTAAAATTATGCCTGTATCAACGCTAATGTCATTTTTTTTTAGTTGAGTTGTTTTGGAATTTTGCAACCGTTTTTGGTCTAAATATGGTACGTGAACAAGTAACTTAAAAGATACAATACCTTATTTGAATTTGATGTTCATTTTAAGTGTGGGCCCCCTTTTTTCTCAAATGACCCCCTTTTGAAAAGTTTATGGGCCCGAAGGGCCCCCTGGGAATTAGTTCTAGATTGAACACTGAGTATAGAGCCTGGTCAGACTACATGGATGTGCAGGCTGACCTGGCTCTATACTGTTGACAAAGGCAAATCTATTTCGGTTTCCAGCAATTTAATGGTAAAAACTTTTTTTGTTGTCTTGATAATATTGTATTATATACATGTATATTAAATATTAAGTGATCAAACTTTATTTTTGTAGTATCTAGAGTTTGTCTGTTTATTTTTTTTTCACTGTTAAAAAACAATTTTTGTTGCAGGATTTATCGCCAAGTAAAGGCAAGAAGAAAAAAGCAAACTACCTTAAAAAGCAATCAGAGGGTAGGTTATAGATTGCTTGGACTTATTCTTTAATCTGATCTAAATTATTTGTATATACAATAAATCATTCCATAGTGTTACTTTTTAGCTCACCTGTCATACAGTGACCGCATGAGCTTTTATGACTGCTGTCTGTTGTCCGTCCATCCGTCCGTACGTCCATCCATCGTATGAAGGTCAAATTAATTAGACATGTGCTACTTCAATAGGTGTTTCAGATGTATAGTAGCAGCCATCACAGCTATTAAAAATTTGTTTTAACATTTTTAAGTATTTTAGATGATTGAAAACTGCCTCCGTGGTCGAGGGGTTAGAGTTGATGACTTCTAATCCAGTTACCTCCCTGGCGTGGTTTCGATCCCCGGGAGATGCTTTGGTAGTTTAGCGTGAAGGAAGGAAGTCTAGTACTGGTGTAACTCTCCAGGAACGATGGTTAGGAAACAACCCGCCTATATGACTGAAATACTGTTGGGAAAAGGCATAAAATGAAACAAACAAAAAAACAAACAGATGATTGAAAACAAATTTTGAGCTATATAGTGATATAGTCAGTAACACTTATTCATCAGAATATTATTTAGAAAAAAAGTAAAGAAAAAGAAGAAGAAAAAAAAACTACTTAATTTGGGTTTGTGAATTTTCATTTGGGCTAGTGAAAATTCCTGTATTACTGGCCAGATTGGCTTGTAAATTTCAATCTTTATTTCTGTAATTTGCATTGCTTGTAACAGAGCTTTTAATCCAATATATTTTACATCGTCGGATACCCATGGCCGAACCATTAACATTTATCAGCCGTGGGATTTTTTGCCGATATTCAGTCGTTTAGAGGTGTGTCAAAGGCAGCTATTTCATTGGCTGCCTCACGATCTCATGTGGCGATAAAAACCAATCAAAACGCTCGTTCTGTATGACGTTCGGTATTACAGACAATCATAGACGACACGTTAAATTCAGTTTTCAACATCGAAAAATTAAACGATTTCCAGCAAGAAAGTATAGATAATTTACTTTTACTGCGTGATGTTTTCCTTTCTGATTGATATCTGCTTGCAGAATAACTGCTTTGGCGATAGTTTATGCCATTGATTTTAGCAAGACATGTACAACAGTTTTCAACCGTGGGCACTGCCATTTTATTTTTTGTTGTTTTTTACCTCCACTGTTGAAGAATATAGATTTGTTAAACGCGATGTCATTGGAAGATATTTATGCACCTGTTGCTGTATATCGACGCAAATCGATTCATTTTACCCATGTTGATTGCATGTTATGTGACATGTTTATCAATCGAGGGTATCCGACGATGTATATTTTAGTGCAGAGCCAATATTATATTGGGAGAAAAAAAGGGCCTGTATGAGGTATGGGTATGAACTAGAGTTGTTTGACATTGATATTGATTGAAATATTTTAGAAATTTTAGAACATTTTGTGCGCATGTTGAATTTGTGCACTCTGTTAATGATATTATTCAATAATTATCATATAATATAATACAAGGAGGGGCATGTGAAGTCTTCCTTACCTATCCCATTAAAATGGGAATATCATTTAAATATTTTTGTTTATTTTCAGCTAAGAAACAAACACAAGATACTGTTGAAGCTCAGGTAATGTTTTTAATATATGCAGGTGTAAAATACATTCAAAGTTTAATTATATAGTAATTCCTTTATTTATTATTGCTTTTTTTCAAAGCATTCTTTTTGAGCACAAAAATATATATATAAAGAATTAAGTTTTAACCCATGATCCTAGGGTTGTGTGGTACTTGACGGCTTCTTTTAATGTGCATTTGTCTACAATGGGCGCATTTTCTATAAGTAATTCACATTTTGATAAAAACAATAGAAATACACCATTTGGTTACTTATATGGTACAAAAATGATAAACATGAAATGTTATGCATTCACATAATGTTACATCAGCATCAAGTCTTGATTTAGGCTTTTTACATGACCCTTTAATTAAAGAGCTTTTATATCTGTCATATTTTGAAGATAAATGTATTTTTTTGTGTTATCAGGACAGTGGAGGTAAAGAAAAGAACGTAAAGTTATTCACCCGTGCTCAAACAGCGAGATTTAGTAAATCAGACAGTACAGAGGAGGACTCTGTGTAAGTATAAACCAAGAAACTGGACATCTTTATGAAAAACTGGACAGCTTCACACAAAAAACTGGACGCCTTCATATTGTCAAGATTTTCTTTGTTTTAGTTGTCTCCCTTGTTTTTCCCATATCTTAGTTGTGTTCTCTTGTAACTGTGCTTACTTGGTTTTGTCTTTTCTTATCGATTACTTACTTACAATTTTGTATATTTTCTGATTTCTATTTATAGTAACATTCATTTTGTGTATCTCTCAATTTCTATTTATAGTAACATGCTTTGTAGTTACTTCCTCTTTCTAAACATAGTAACATACTTTTATAGTATCCCCTTATATCTATATATAGTAACATTCTTAATAATTACAGTTTTCCCTGATTTCTTAATACATTGTATAAATATATTCTATTTAGTTTCACCTATTTAGTTCTTTCGATCTAAAATATTTCTATATTTGACAAATAAAGTTTTGTTGGAAAGTAAATAAGTACATGTATCATATAGCTAAACCGAGTATAGAAAAACATTTTCTGTACAGATTTCTGTATTAAGTAATGTTCCATTTTCAGTGTCAAAGAGCTATGTATGTTTGTGCATTTTTTTTCTCAATGTGTTTGTGATGTGTTGTGAAGTTTTTCTAAAAATTGTGTATCGTTAATCTATTGGATTGTAATCGGTTGGCTAGTCTTGGCTTTTTATATCAAGGTTTTCTTCTCTTATTTTTTCACTTATATATTTAGTTCATCTTTATGATAAAGCAGAATGTTCAATAATTTAATTGATACTTTTGACATTAAATTTGATAAAGTATAAAAATAACATCACTATTATTCTATATTATTGCAATTATATCACTGTAAAGTCTTTAAAGGGTTTTATGTCAGTGTAGCAATGCATTGTGGGTATGGTACATCAGAAGCTGTTAAGAAATCTATATAACAGTTTGCAGTTTAATTCTCATTTAAAGTTATTCTTTCTCAAGTTTATCCTTACTGTGCTCAAACTGAACTTTATATTAGCCTTCGTCATCAGAATAGAGCCAGGCCAGTGAGGCTCATCAGTGCAATCTTACGAGGCTCTATACTGTTTCCTGACCAAACTTTAAATTTACATCTTGATATTCCCAAAATGATAATCGATGGTCTCAAAAATGAGAGTTGGGCAAGTCCATTTTAGAAATTCAGTTGGCTTTGGGCTAATCAAACATGGAAATGAAGTCACAGGTACACATAGTATTTCTTGAATTATCATAAAATCAAATAATAATTAGCACAGCAGCACACAAACTTAAATACACGTACTGACTATGTTAACAGTTATCATTTTTGGCCAATAGTGTTATAGCCATCAATCGTAGTTATTATTTTGCATATTTAGTCAGATTTGTTTTCAACTGACAATATTTCATTTTGCCCTCTTTCTGTTTTACCTGTTTAAGATATTCTAACAGGAATAAGGGTGTTTCTTTGCTTTGGCCATTGTGGTGAAATTGCTTTGACTTCATTGATTACATTGCTTTCTACCTTTGGTGAAATAGGTTTCATTATCTGATGTGATTGCTTTGAGCATTAAGAGAAATTGTTTTGGCAACAGCTATGTGTGGAAGTTGTTATATAGATGTGATGCACTGATTTGTAAAAAAAGTTTGTGCTTTGTTTGTTTACGCTAGCTTTTGGTGTTTATTATTCTATAATTTGAAATTTTCTGAGATACATTTTTGTTTATGAGATATATCTGTACTCTAGTTTACTAGAGAATCCCAAGTTTGTTCCCCTCAAGTAAATGCAACTTATCTACTTGAAAAATTGCAAAGACATAAAATTATTTTGTATTAAAGGGATGTATCCTTTTGGCATTGTACACTCTGGACATTTCCCATGTGCCTATAGGATAATGAGGAAAAGAGACATAACTCTTATCAATCAACTTTCAACCAATCAGAATTAAGTCCCTTTCTTGAAAATTATGTACTTCTCAGACACTTGTTTAACAAAAGTTAATGCATTCTCTTGTTAGATTTTTTCCCCAAAAATTATTGGTCATTTTGGAAGATTTTTATGTTGCCATGTTTAAAATGGAATTAATTTCTTGGTACTTACTTACATTAAGAAGTTTTGAATGTGTTAATAGCCTGTAAGACAATATTCTTTGTCTACCTGCTGTGGAAGCTCCCTAGGGAGAGCATTTGATTTGTAATCTAGGGGTCTAAAGGTTCAATCCTCAGGCAAAGGAAAATTTGTCCATTACGGTTGATCTCTGACATTTAGTGTAATGGTCTTTTGTCTCCAATTGCTAAGAAACCATGTGGGATTAGTAGTCTGTCACTTGCCAAAAAATTGGTAATAACTGGTTAGTTACACGGAAAGGCTGGTTGAACAGACCAAAAATGTGCTGAAATCCTGACAAGCGTACAACCCTCTTCATCTTCAGCCTATAATGTAATTGTATTTCTCTTAGCTCAATTTATGTTTTATGGTAAATTTTCCTATAAAGTTTCTATGAAAAGAAGTTGATTTCTGTGTTCTCATTTTCTACTGGTGAAAAATAAAAAGACACAATCTTCTATCCCACATTCATTTGCTGAACTGACATAATATCCTTTATTATCCCCCGCCGAAAAATTTCGGCGGAGGATATAGAAATAGTCTCCGTCCGACCTTCCGTCCGTCTGTCCGTCCGTCCTTCCGTCCGACATTTTTGTCCGGAGCATATCTCTAAAAGTATTTGAGTTATCAACTTGAAACTTCATAGGTGGATAGACCTCATTGAGGAGGAGTGCAGTGCACAAGAATGATAACTCTGCCTTGCATGATTTTTGAGTTATTGCCCTTTGTTATTTTTCAAAATTGATTTTTGTCCAGAGCATAACTCCAAAAGCCTATGAGATATTAACATGAAACTTCATAGGTGCATAGATCTCACTCAGGAGGTGTGCAGTGCACAAGAATGATAACTCTACCTTTCATAATTTTTGAGTTATTGCCCTTTGTTATTTTTCATACCTAATTTTTCACCTGAGTGGAGCATAACTCAAAAAGTGTTTGAGATATCATCATGAAATGTCATAGGTGGATAGATCTTATTGAGGAGGAATGTTGTGCGCAAGAATGATAACTCTTACCTATACAATTTTTGAGTTATTGCCCTTTTTTTTTCATGCTATTTTGTCCAGAGCTTATCTCAAAAAGTATTTGAGGTATCAACTTGAAACTTCAAAGGTGGATGGATCTCATTGAGGAGGAGTGCAGTGCTTAAGAATGATAACTCTACCCTGCATTATTTTTGAGTTATTGCCCTTTGTTATTTTTCAAAATTAATTTTTGTCCAGAGCATAACTCAAAAAGCCTTTGAGATATCAAAATGAAACTTCATAGGTGCATAGATCTCACTCAGGAGGTATGCACTGCACAAGAATGATAACTCTACCTTTTATAATTTTTGAGTTATTGCCCTTTGTTCTTTTTCATACTTAATTTTTCAATTCAATTTTTTTCTCAAAAAGTATTTGAGGTATCAACTTGAAACTTCATAGGTGGATAGATTTTACTGAGGAGGTATGCAGCACACAAGAATGATAACCTACCCTGCATTATTTTTCAGTAATTGCCCTTTGTTATTTTCAGCCATCAGTATTCACATAGGTTTCAAATCTGTAATCACTATAGCCATCAGTTTTCATTACCAAAAGACTTCTTAAAATGGAATTATTCTGCTCTACTACATATACATTCTTCCAATGAGCAAACACATTCGGCAGGGGATGGCCATGTTGACATGGCTCTTGTTTTGACTGAATTTGTAGAAACCCAATTTCACAGTTATAATTGTCATAAATATAGATAATATTATAAGTTTCATATTATTATTTTCTATTGTGACAACTTATTAATTCGAACAAAAATCAGTTTGTTTTATGTCTGTATTAAACCATGCTGTAGGAATAAAGATGACAAGAAAGTCTGCTCCAAAAATTTATTATTTTCAATGTTATTATTTCAAATTGTTGCCTTTAACTTCTTACAAACTTTATAAAATTTAAGCCAATGAAGTCAAATGAAATCATTATATGAAGTCAAAGGATATCATACCGGTTTATTGATGAAAAAATGCAATTTCGTCGCTGCCAATAAGGGGACGGGGCATTTTGACATCATATTAATGCTCTTTAATTACAAAATAATACTGTGGAAGTAAAACTGATATATTTTAATGTTTGTATACCAAAAATAATCCAGATCTGAGATTTTGTCAGATTTAGAAGCATGCTACTTTAAACACCATTTTTGTCTGATTTAAAACACATACACATTCCAAAAAATATCTAGGAAAGTTGAAAATACAAAACTAAGTAGATATAATTCACCCTTTAAGTGCTGGACCTGAAAGCATTAAGTCTTTGCCACCAGTATAGAGCCAGGCCAGCCTGCACATCCGTGCAGTCTGACCAGGCTCTATACTGTTGGCGGAAAAATTTTAAGTATTCAAATTGATATCCCTAAAATTTATAATGGACAGTCCAAAAAATGGAAGTGGGACAGGTCCATTTAAAATATTCAGCATGTTCAGGGTTAAACTTAAGCATTTTTATGGCAACAGATTACACCCATGTAAATAGTACTGACCAAGATCAGTTGGCACTTTGTGCTCTCTTATCATGGTCTGCACTGTACGCAATTCAGTCACTACATATTTTAAAATTTTCTGTATTAACTACTAATGGTTTTGACCAGATTGAAAGATGGGCAAGTCCATTTAAGATATTTAGCATGATAAAGGGTTAATAAGTTGTCACATTCCTTTTATTTCTCTAACAGTCACTTTATTAGTATAATATATACATATATTTTCCTGCATGCTTATTTTGTTTTATATAGTACACTATCTGATGAGAATGGTAAATCGTCCATACAAGATATCATCAGTAAGTTGAATTAACACGATGCTTTTAATTATACTGTAGTTATAGTCAGGTGGACCCTTTTATTGCCCATTGAAAACATTCATGTATTGGCTCAAGGTGATTTTCTCAACGAGTGGTTTATTTATGTCACTGACATCAAATCATTTGCCTTCCACCCCCTCAAGTTCAAATCTTAACAAGAATATTATAATCATTTCCTGTTAAAAACTTATCCAGCTAGAAACAAAACTTAAAAGGTTCATATTTTGTTATTGCTGCCACTTCAAGCCTGAAATAATGCATTTTTAGCAGAATAAGTGTAGCTATCCTAGTCACCCGAGCGTCTACATAACAACTTATGTTAAAGTTTGTGTGCCACCTCAAATATTTTCAAAGTCCATAGACATATGGCTTTGAAACTTTGCACACTTGTTCACCATGATGTCCCTAACATGTAAACAGGAGAAGGTAACTCTAGCAAGCATTTTGTCAGAATAATGCCCCCTTTTTAGCTCACCAGAGCCGAAGGCTCAGGGTGAGCTATTAGTATCAAAGGGGGATGCTCCGGCGTCCATCGTCTGTCGTCATGCGTCAACAATGGTCTTCTTCTCTGAAACTACTGGACAGATTTACTTCAAATTTGGTCTGTAGCATCCTTGTGACAGTCACACTTGAATTTGCTCATGTCATTCCAGTTGGCCCCTTTTAGGGGTCAGCAGAGCTAAAAACAGAAAAACCTTTAAACAACTTCTTCTACGGAACTAATGATTGGATGATCACCAAACTTTGTCTGTAGCATTCTTGGGTAGTCTTTTATCAAGTTTGCTCATATTAATTTGATTGGCCCCTTTTAGGGGTCTCTAGGGCTAAAAATAGAAAAACCTTTAAACATCTTCTTCTACAGAACTAATGGATGGATGATCACCAAACTTTGTCTGTAGCATTCTTGGGTAGTCTTTTATCAAGTTTGCTCATATGAATTTGATTGGCCCCTTTTAGGGGCCGCTAAAGCTAAAAATAGAAAAACCTTTAAACGTCTATTTCTACAGAACTAATTGATGGATGATCACCAAACTTTGTCTGTAGCATTCTTAGGTAGTCTTTTATCAAGTTTGCTAATATTATTTTGATTGGCCCCTTTTAGGGGTCTCTAGGGCTAAAAATAGAAAAACCTTTAAACATCTTCTCCTACAGAACTAATTGATGGATGATCCCAAAAATTTGTCTGTAGCATTCTTGGGTAGTGTTTTATTAATTTTTGGCTGGGTTGCACTGGTGCAAACCCGGGTTATACTATGGTGAATGTTGGGCGGCGGGCCGGCGGGGAAAAAAACTTTCGTAACAGTTTTCTCAGCAACTACTTATCACAGCCTCTTGATATTTGGCATACAGCATTGACACATGGTCCCATACTGTGGGATTTGATTTCAGGTCTGTCGCTCATCCACTTCCTGTTTATCCACTTAGTTAAATTAGTAAGATTTTTCGACATTAATGGTCAATGCTAGGAAATTTTCGTAACAGTTTTCTCAGCAACTACTTATCACAGTCTCTTGATATTTGGCATACAGCATTGACACATTGTCCCATACTGTGGGATTTGATTTCAGGTCTGTCGCTCATCCACTTCCTGTTTATCCTTATTTAAATTACTTATTTAAATTAGTTAGATTTTTTGACATTATTGGTCAATGGTAGGAAATTTTCGTAACAGTTTTCTCAGCAACTACTTATCAGAGCTTCTTGATATTTGGCATACAGCATTGACACATTGTCCCATACTGTGGGATTTGATTTCAGGTCTGTCGCTCATCCACTTCCTGTTTATCCACTTAGTTAAATTAGTTAGATTTTTTGACATTAATGGTCAATGGTAGGAAATTTTCGTAACAGTTTTCTCAGCAACTACTTATCACAGCCTCTTGATATTTGGCATACAGCATTGACACATGGTCCCATACTGTGGGATTCGATTTCAGGTCTGTCGCTCATCCACTTCCTGTTTATCCACTTAGTTAAATTAGTTAGATTTTTTGACATTAATGGTCAATGGTAGGAAATTTTCGTAACAGTTTTCTCAGCAACTACTTATCACAGCCTCTTGATATTTGGCATGCAGCATTGACACATGGTCCCATACTGTGGGATTCGATTTCAAGTCTGTCGCTCATCCACCTACTGTTTATCCACTTAGTTAAATTAGTTAGATTTTTTGACATTAATGGTCAATGGTAGGAAATTTTTGTAACAGTTTTCTCAGCAACTACTTATCAGAGCTTCTTGATATTTGGCATACAGCATTGACACATTGTCCCATACTGTGGGATTTGATTTCAGGTCTGTCGCTCATCCACTTCCTGTTTATCCACTTAGTTAAATTAGTTAGATTTTTTGACATTAATGGTCAATGGTAGGAAATTTTCGTAACAGTTTTCTCAGCAACTACTTATCACAGCCTCTTGATATTTGGCATACAGCATTGACACATGGTCCCATACTGTGGGATTTGATTTCAGGTCTGTCGCTCATCCACTTCCTGTTTATCCACTTAGTTAAATTAGTTAGATTTTTTGACATTAATGGTCAATGGTAGGAAATTTTCGTAACAGTTTTCTCAGCAACTACTTATCACAGCCTCTTGATATTTGGCATGCAGCATTGACACATGGTCCCATACTGTGGGATTCGATTTCAAGTCTGTCGCTCATCCACCTACTGTTTATCCACTTAGTTAAATTAGTTAGATTTTTTGACATTAATGGTCAATGGTAGGAAATTTTCGTAACAGTTTTCTCAGCAATTACTTATCACAGCCTCTTGATATTTGGCATGCAGCATTGACACATGGTCCCATACTGTGGGATTCAATTTCAAGTCTGCAGCTCATCCACTTCCTGTTCACATTAATGGTCAATGGTAGGAAATTTTCGTAACATTTTTCTCAGAAACTACTAATCACAGCCTCTTGATATTTGGCATACAGCATTGATACATGGTCCCATACTGTGGGATTCGATTTTAGGTGTGTAGCTAATCCTCTTCCTGTTTACCTACTGAATTAAATTTTCGACATTAATGGGTCAATGGAAATTTTTTTTCGTAATATCACAGCCTCATGATATTTGGTGTATAAATGCAACCTGGCCTTTTCTGTCTTTGACCCATTTTGCTCATATTAATTTGATTGGCCCCTTTTAGGGGCTGCTAAAGCTAAAAATAGAAAAACTGTTAAATGTCTATTTCTAGAGAACTAATGGATGGATGATCACCAAACTTTGTCTGTAACATTCTTAGATAGTCTTTTATCAAGTTTGTTAATATTATTGTGATTGGCTTGTTTTAGGGGTCTCTAGGGCTAAAAATAGAAAAAACTTTTAAACATCTTCTCCTACAGAACTAATTGATGGATGATCACCAAACTTTGTCTGTAGCATTCTTGGGTAGTGTTTTATAAGGTTTGCTCATATAAATTTGATTGGCCCCTTTTAGGGGCCGCAAAAGCTAAAAATAGAAATACCTTTAAATGTCTATTTTTCTACAGAACTAATTGATGGATGATCACCAATAGGTAGTCTTTTATCAAGTTTGCCTATATAATTTTGATTGGCCCCTTTTAGGGGCCGCAAATCTAAAAATAGAAATACCTTTAAATGTCTATTTCTACAGAACTAATTGATGGAAGATCACCAAACTTTGTCTGTAGCATTCTTGGATAGTCTTTTATCAAATTTGCTCATATTCATTTGATTAGCCCCTTTTAGGGGCTGGTAAAGCTAAAAATAGAAATACCTTTAAATGTCTATTTCTACAAAACTAATAAATGGATGATTACCAAACATTGTCCGAAGCATTCATGGGTAGTCTTTTATCAGGTTTGCTCATATTATTTTGATTAGCCCATTTTAGGGGCCGCTAAAATTAAAAATTGATATTCATTTAAGTGCTATAGCTACAGAACTACTGCGAATTCACTTAAATTCGTGGGCATGAAATTTCGTGGTTTTATCAAAAAGGGCATTTTTGTGGGTTCTTAAATTCGTGGATTTTCGTTTTCTTGTTAAAAAAAATTCAGTTACCTAGCAAATGCAAAATAATCTTAAACTTAATCGCCGAACATTTTTACTTACAACATGTACATATCTTTACTTGTCACACAGCGCTTGTCAATAAATTTAATCCTTGCCTCTGGGCATAACTAATATAGCACAGTAAAATAATTGCCGATAATTGACTGCAATTAACACATTTATGTGACATGATATACACACTGCCCCTGTAATTCGCCGATGTAAACATCGCATAATTTATACTACACCCGACAGGTTTTAACCAGCTAGTAAGTTTACACCCTTAATTGGTCTTAACATATTTGACAGTACTTAACTACACGCAACGTCACAGCGACTGTGTAAATTTACATGCATAAAAATTAATCTCGGTAAATAACACGAGTATGTGTGAATCTTGTATTTTTTTTTATATCTTGTAAAAATCGGTGGCGTCTTTGATGTTGACGGAATAGCATTGAATTTCGCACAAATACAGATTAAAATTCATGAACTTGATCATTTAAAAGGACAAAAGAATGTACAATAAGTCTGTTTTAGCGATCGCATTTTTTTTTATAGTTTTGTGTACTTACGACAATAATATCAAAGACTTTTTTTTAATAAATAAGAGCAAACTGACAATTTTTATCAGCGCTAATTATTGCACTGCCTGGGTTCCCATATTTATTTGATTATGTCAAGTGTTCTTGTTGACGCAATCAAGTCCTAGTAGACTACAACGATCAAGTACGTATATGCGACATTTGTGACCGTAAATTGAGGACATATAATCGAGTTTTCTTTCAAGTGTCTCAAATATTGTAAACAGATTTAATATGTCACTAACCTGATTATCTGTTTGTATATACATCCATTTCACGAAATATCGGCCGGAACAGAGCCAACGCATGTTTGTAATACATAAAACAAAGACTTGGTAAGAAGTATTTGTTGGGATAAAAGTTCGTGGGA